ATGGAAGTGAATTATTGGAAACACTTTTCAGAAAGTGAACTGTTAACAGACAATAGCTTGTATAGAGAGGCTATTGGAAAACTACTGTACATCAGCAGAATTACAAGAACCTTTCCTATCTAAAATGGATTTATTTTATCTTCAATAAACATATTATTTTTGATCCTATGAGTTGTAGATCTGCAATCCTGTTCCATCCTGTTGAATGGAAACCAATCCTTGCTCACTATACGTAAGTTTCTGCTGCTTTTGAACTGTGCATCCTGCATTCTGCTATATTTGTGGTGGAATCACCCCCCAGAGAGGGTTATTTTTGGGCCTAACAGCTCCTGATTCAAAACAGTAATTTTGCAAGAGTAAGCAAGCGTGTTAGATGAATATATAAATTTTGATGTATCTCTGGATCTGGTAAAGGCACTTTCATTTTTGGCCTTGAAAAGGAACAGCCCCGAGCCTTTACTTGAAAGAACTCGTGATGTTTACTCAGGCTAAATATATTTGGGGTGCTTTTGGCTACGAGTTCCAATTTGGTGGAAAAGGACAAATTGCCAGCAATTAATGGCTTTGTTATCTATCTGGCTGTGAAGAGCAGTGGTTCTCAACCTGTGAGTTCCCTGGATGTTTTGGCCTTCAATTCTCAGAAATCTCAGACAGTTTAGCAGCTGTTGGGATTTCTGGGAGTTGAAGGCCAAACCATCTGGGGACCTACAGGTTGACAACCTACTGCAACTGCTCATAGGAGTCAGACTTCATCTCCCAATATCCTTACACCTTCACTAGGCAGGCTGGGGATGAGGGGACTTGCAGCCCAACATGAACAATGACAAAACATCTGGGGGCCCAGAGGTTGAGAACCACTGATGAAGAGGGAAACATGGCTGAAGAGTGATGTTCCCCACCACGTACCCCCATGCCTCCTTTTCCCACCTTACTTAAAAACATCCGTCCAAAACATGTTCATGTGATAATGTTTTATTGTTTTTTCACATATTGTACTTGGCGGGAAGAGGGGGTACATCTTTTACCAATCCGGAATGTGACAAATCATGACAAACTGGCGAAAAAGAGAGAGAGAGAGAGAGAGAGAGAGAAGCACAGAGCGAGGCAATGACACCAAAAAACAGAACAAAATGAAAACCAGAGGCGGCCCACCAACGAGGGACAGCAGCAAAAGCAGACGGTTCCCTTCCAAAACAAGTCTCTTGCCCATCAATGGCAGGAGCCACATGTTTGCTTCAGGGAAAGGCACTCTTCACATGTACATTGAAAGGGAAGAATGAACAGGAAAACACACAGTTTGGCAGCACTTTGAAGTGTGCTGGTTTGTAAATGACCTCCTTCAAAACTAGTAGGGGTTGCTTCAGAATGTGTCTGGGATGAAGCTGTCAAGAAAGCTATCAAATTCTTCTTGACAAACCGAGACACTTTAAAGCAGGCCTGGGCCAACTTAGGCAATTCAGGTGTTTTGGACTCCAACTCCCAGCATTCCTCACAGCCTCAAGCCCCTTCCTTTTCCTCTTCAGCTGCTTAAGGATGTTAGAATGTTGAGGCTAGTCAATCAGAAACCATATGCAAATTAGTAGGTCAAGACAGCTCATGCATGGGTGAACTTGGGCCTTTCTTTTCCGCTTAAGCGCCTGAGGGGGAAAAGAAAAGGGCCTGAGGCTGTGAGAAATGGTGGGAGGTGCAGTCCAAAACACCCGAAAGGCCTAAATTGGCCCAGGCCTGCTTTGAACATTAACTCCCTCCATTATGAACTGGTGCTGCCACTGATCTGAGTACTTACAAAACAAGGCAATATAAAGGCTGGCATTTCCCAATAGCTTACAAAATGTAGTAACAAAGAATACAAAATAAACAGAGACCCTGATAATGTCCATATGCAATTACATACACTATATATATATATATATATATATATATATATATATATATATATAGTTTAAAAGGAGAGGAAAAAGAGGAGCAGGAAATCTGTTTTGTTTTCGGTTTCATTAAATAGTCGTGGGGGGGGGGGAGAGTTTCCTTCCACCCAGCAACCATAACGACACTCACTCCGCACTGAGTCCAGTTGCACTTCCAAGCCCTGGCCAAGTCTGTTCAAGTATGAGGGAGAGAGGGAAGGAGGGCAGGCCCAGGCCACAAGGGTGTCAGCCTGTGCTTGATGGAATTGTAGTGCCCCTCAAGTCACAGGTCTGCAGCTTGCATGTCCTCCTAGACTCTTCGCAAACACATGAAGCGCAGGCGTGGAGTTGGCTGGGAGGGTTGCGACCGTACCTCATTAAATCGGATCTGACCGTGGTGGTCCACGCCTTAGTTACCTCCAGATTGGACTATTGCAATGCGCTCTACATGGGGCCGCCCTTGAAGACGGTTCGGAAGTTTCAGTTGGTCCAACGGGTGGCAGCCAGATTACTAACAGGAGCAAATTACAGGGAGCAGTCAATCCCGTTTAAGGAGCTCCACTGGCTGCCGTTCATCTTCCGATCCCAAATCAGTTTGCAGGTTTTTACCTACAAAGCCCTGAACGGTTTGGGACCCGATTACCTGCGTGTCTGCATTTCTGTTTATGAACCTACATGATCTCTTCGATCTTCCAGAGAGGCCATTCTCTTGCTCCCGCCCCCATCGCAAATGTGACCTGCAGGGAGGAGGGAGAGGGCTTTCTCTGTGGTGGTCCCCCATCTCTGGAACCCACTCCCCAGAGATATTAGACAAGCCCCTACCCTGGCAGTCTTCAGGAAGAGCTTGAAAACCTGGCTGTTCCAATGTGCCTTCAATGGATGAATGAACAATAATGCCCCTACATGACCTACCTCTGTAAAACGGCCCTCGGTAGTACTTTATTTTACCTGCTAGCACAATCACACCCTACCCTACCTCTCAGATTTTCTGTCCAGACACATTACATTGCTGTCTCACCAGTGTTTTAAATTTTTAATCTTTTTAAATCTGCCCACCCAGTATGATGAATCTCTGATATGTACAATGTGGGTTTGTGTTTTATTTTATTTTGCTGTGTTCTGTTGTATAGACTACTGCAACACTCTCTACGTGGGGTAACCTTTGAAGACTGTTTGGAAGCTTTAAATGGTCCAACGGGTGGCAGCCAGGTTGCTAACAGGAGCAGCGCCCAGGGAGCATACAGCTCCTCTGTTGCGCCAGCTCCACTGGCTGCCAATCTGCTACCGAGCACAATTCAAAGTGCTGACTTTAGCCTATAAAGCCCTAAATGGTTCTGGCCCTGCTTACCTGTCCGAACGTATCTCTCCTTACGAACCCTCTAGGAATTTAAAATCTTCTGGGGAAGCCCTGCACGTCGTGTGGCCAAACATTATCTGGACAGGGGGGTAAAAACAGATCCCACCAACTGTCCCTCCAATATAAAGAATTCACTGGCACCTATATAACACTTTGAGGGGATGTCTCAAATTAACTTCCGCTGCCACCATAAACTGAAATGTACAGGAACACTCTAGCTGTTTAAAATATTAAAAAGGGCTTTTAGGACCACCAAGCACTGTATCTTCTTATTTTCTTCTTCAAAGGGAAACAGGTGAGGTTGTTTAGAAAGAACTATAGCCCCAAAGGCACACTGGACTCAGGCTTTTTAAGTTTTAAAATAAACAAGGAAAGTTTATTGATAGAAATACAGAATGAAGTAAATGCTGTTTAAAATCTTGGGGGTTACAGAGAAAATGTTCTTGTCTTTAAAGCGTAATGGTTACATGTAAAATGGTTCTTTCCTTGTTACAAAACAGAGATTTTCTTCTTTAAAGAAAACAAGTACACTTGACAGGATCTGAATCTCTGCCAAGATACAACTGTAGCTTAGCTACCCTCAACTGTGGCCTAGCTAACTACAAAACCAGCTATCTTTCCCTGATAACTGTTCCAGTTTGCCACAGCTTCTTTTGCTGGCAAACCTAAGGCAAACTGCCTAATCTAAACTAATCTTAAAACACGAACTCCTAAAACTACCTTCCTACTCTAATCTCCCACAACAACAGACTGACTGAACAAGCCTCTTTCTTTCCCTCCAAACAGTCTAAACTCCACCCCCCTTTAATAAACCAATCCTGGCTGTTCTAAGGCTGACTCAGGCCTAGGCCACTCCCCCTCTCTGACATGGGGCTTTCCCTAAACTAAAATGGCTCCTGCTGCCCTCTGCCAGGCCTTCTAAAGCTGCAACTAACTGGCCTGCTTCTCCTAGGCCCTGCCATCCAGGCTGGCAAGGTAAGGGATCTTTACACCCTGCTCTCAGCCCTGCCATCTTCACAGGCTTGATTGGCAGGGACAAGGGATAGGGCCTTCTCAGTGGTAGCCCCTCAGTTGTGGAATGCCCTCCCCAGGGACATTAGATCAGCCCCACCCTCTTAACGTTTTGTAAAAAATTTAAAACCTGGCTATATGAGCAGGCCTTCCTAAATGCAGTGTAGCTATGAAACTCTGATCTCGGAACAGTTGGACAATGTGACTAGACAATGACTGATTAATGAAGCGCGGAGGACTTATGGTTTTTATTATGTTTATTGATGTTAATTGTAATAAATTGTTTATTTATGTTAAATGTTTAAACTATTTTTGTCCTGTTGTGGGCATCGAATTGCGCCATTTTGTAAACCGCCGTGAGTCGCCCTCGGGCTGAGAATGGCAGTATAGAAGCGTAGTAAATAATAAAATAATAAATAATAAATATATTGTTTTATTGTATTGCTGGGCTTGGCCTTATGTAAGCTGCCCCGAGTCCCCTTGGGGAGATGGTGGCGGGTTATAAATAAAGATGATGATGATGATTATTATTATTATTATCATCATCATTATTATTAGTCCTCACCTTGGCCGCTGCTGCTAGGCAACGCTAGAGGGGATGGGAGGGGGACTGCGGGGTGGGGGGAGGACTCCCTCCCTCCTCTTCATCCTCTTTGTGACTAGTGCAAAGAGCCTGAGTGCTGGTAAGCGCTGAGGGATCGGGTGAAGAGGGCAGCGAAGGTGTCTACCAGGTCCCCCCGCCGCCGTCTGCGCCCGTACTCGTGGACCTTGTTGGGCGGCGCAGATTCCTTCCTCTTGTCCATCAGGTGGAAGACCATGTCTAACAGGTTGTGTGCATGGCAGGTCCCCAGGCGGCAGCCCAGGCGCACCACATTCAAGTGGGAGAGTGGCGGCGAGGGCGGGCTGGTGTGGCGCCTCGAGTGCAGGTTGGCGGGCTCCAGAATGAGGCTGGAAAGGAGACATGCGGGGTTCAGAAAGGGAGGAAGGAACCCGGGAGAGTCCCTCCCCTGGAGGAGACAATGAATGCAGTTAGACACCACTTCGCGGCCATGGCTCAAGGTGGCGGGATCACAGGAGTTGTCGCTTGCACAGCAGAAAAAGGCCAATGCTGCCGCTCCCACTGAGCCAAGGCAATTCCAGCCTAATTCCGGCTGCATTACGTCCTGAGTCTATGGCGGACTTCTCTTTCACCTCCTTGGCTACCTCATCACACTAGAGAATGAATCCAGTTTAAATCCAGTTGCTGCCTCCTGCAGAATGCTTGAGTTTGTAGTTTAGGGAGGAGCCTTTAACAGCCTCACTAAACCACAAACCCCAGAATTCTGTAGGAGGCAGAAACCAGATTTAAACTCGATTCATTCTCTACCTCAGGGGTCCTCAAACTTTTTAAACAGAGGGCCAGGTCACAGATCCTCAAATTGTTGGAGGGCCGGATTATAATTTGAAAAAAAAAATAATGAATGGATTCCTATGCACACTGCACATATCTTATTTGTAGTGCAAAAACACTTTAAAACAATACATTAATTAAAATGAAAAACAATATTAACAGATATAAACTTATTAGTATTTCAATGGGAAGTGTGGGCCTGCTTTTGGCTGATGAGATAAGATTGTTGTTGTTGCTGTGTGCTTTCAAGTTTCAGAATTAGGCTGACCCTGAGTGAGGGCTGGGTAAATGACCTTGGAGGGCCATATCCAGCCCTCGAGCCTTAGTTTAAGGACCCCTGCTTTCACTGATGCCTTCCCAGCACATCCTATGGAGTGAACGCTACCGAAGCCCATGGGACAGATTAACAGAAGAAGGCAGGCAGCGCTGGGTGTATCAATCCTCCTCCCCCTCCCTCCAGATCACACACTGGGAGCTCCTTTGGCAACCCACTCTTAAGCCCTATGTCTACACCTCTCAAGGTGCATGTACGCTGTGTAATTGACTCCCCCAGTGGCTCAATGGATTAAACCAGGCAAGGGCAAACTTGGGCCCTCCAGGTGTTTTGGACTCCAACTGTTAGGAATGGTGGGAGTTGGGAGTCCAAAACACCTGGAGGGCCCAAGTTTGCTCATACCTGGGTTAAACCCTTGTGCCGGCAGGACTGACTGAAAGATCCGTGATTCGAATCAGGGGATCGGGGTGAAATCCCTCTGTTAACTCCAGCTTCCCATGCAGGGACATGAGAGAAGCCTCCCATAGGATGGTGAAAAACCCTGGCAAGCCCTGGGCGAAGCCCTCACTGGAGATCTCCCATCTGTCAGCTCCAGCTTCCCATGCAGGGACATGAGAGAAGCTCCCCACAAGGATGATAAAACATCAAAAACATCCTTGCAGATGGCCAATTCTCTCACACCAGAAGCAACTGGTAACCCCCGGCTATTTCTGGCAAAGGTGATAATCAAGATCCATTGTGCATATGTGTAACGATTGAAAGTTCATTTGTCTGATCTGATAAGCCAGCCAATGTTTGCTCAGCCAAGTACCCCACTCGGGAAGTCTGATCTGGCCACGGTGGTCCACGCTCTTGTTACATCCCTAATAGACTACTGCAACGCGCTCTACGTGGGGTTGCCCTTGAAGACTGTTCGGAAACTTCAACTAGTCCAGCGAGCGGCAGCCAGATTGCTCACCAGAGCGACATACAGGGAGCATACCACCCCCCTGCTGTGCCAGCTCCACTGGCTGCCGATTCAGTTCCGAGCACAATTCAAGGTGCTGGTTTTGACCTACAAAACCCTGTACGGTTCCGGTCCAGTGTATCTGTCCGAACGTATCTCCCTCTACGTCCCACCCCTGAGATCATCTGGGGAGGCCCTGCTCTCGACCCCACCACTGTCACAAGTGAGGCTGGTGGGGACGAGGAGCAGGGCTTTCTCAGTGGTGGCCCCTCACCTGTGGAACTCACTCCCGGGGGAAATCAGGGCATCACCATCCCTCCTCGCCTTCAGGAGGAGGGTGAAGACGTGGTTATGGGACCAGGCCTTTGGGCACGCTGGCAATTAAATCAGATAATCAGGCAAGTAAGGGCCAACAGGACTGATGAAGTGGAACGTAAAACTAGATCTATGAGTTAGCGAACGCTGACCATGTAAGAGGAGAAATTGGGTTTGTGTTGGTTTTTATTGATTTTATGGTTATAATGCATGAATTGTTATTAACTGTGAATTGATGTAATTTTGTGTATGATTGTTTTATGATGCAGGCATCGAATTGTGCCTTTGCCTTTGTAAGCCGCCCTGAGTCCCCTTCGGGGTGAGAAGGGCGGGGTAAAAGAACCCCAAATAAATAAACGTAGGAGTTTCTCAAATTGCTCCTGACATGAGAAAAAACCCACCTGAAATGGCTATGATGGTGTAATAAGAGAGGAGGAATTGCCTGTGAAGGCCCCTCCGCCTTCTGCCTGGGAGCTTCCCCCCAGAACAAGACTTACTTTCTCTTGAATTCTGATGCCAGGTCCAGCTTGGCCGCCTCCAGCCCGAAGAAGGAGACGGAGCCCAGGTAAAGGAGGGCGAGGGACAGGGCTTGCATCCTGGCCAAGGAGAGATGAGAGGAAGCAAGGTCAGGGACTTTCTCCATGGCTTGGCTTGTCTGGACTGCTTGCCTGCTCGCTCCCAATCTCCCCCCCCTCCTCCTCCTCTGCTCTGCCTGCCCCAATGACATTCTCCTCTGCTCCAATATTTGCTCGGCAATTCATCACCACTTTGGCTCGGTTCTCATTTTGCGGAGGAGGGTGAAAGCTAGGCACCTTTTCTCCCTCCCCCCCCCCCGCGATGCCCCGCGATCGAAACCATTTCCATTCACTGCCCAGAAACGAAACAATTCTTCTTGACTTCCCCCACTTTCCCCTAATTTTAACCTCTCCCGCTTTAACCCCTCGATGGACTGTCACCTTGTCGTGGTGAGGGGGCTTGCATGATCCAATGAACCTGTGGGCACAACGACTAGAGTCGTGCACTCCCAGGAATGGCCGCAGGGGAGGTTCCAGACGAAGCACAGTCTAAAGACCCAAAGACCTCAATGGCGGAGCAGGCAGAGGATAACATGGTACATGTTACAAGGGCTGTGAAGGCGGAAGAAGGCTGTAACAGATTGAGAGCCATGGCCGTTGTGTTAACCATGCCATTGTTGGACCTCACTCTGTGAAGATTGTGTGTTGGTCAGTTGTGCACTGACCTCCATACATTAAAAAAACTCATGCAGAGGCATCTTCCAAGAAAAATAAAAGCAAACCAACAAAAGTCCCATGGCGATCAGCGAGTGGCGACGGGGGCAGGACTGTGAAATCTGGAAGCCCCTAGTCACAGACTAGCACATGGGCGGTGGGTACAGACTCAGTCGTTCTACCTCAAGGTCCGAGGCAGTTGAGTAGTTTGGCAGCTGTATCCATGACTGAGCAGCCCTTTTTAGGATCCACTCTGCTCACTCCACATGGGGAAGGGGCTAGAAAAGGTGCCCTAAACATAGTCTGCCTCTCTTATCCCTGACTGGACTACCGCATCCAGTGGGGTCACCACCCTGCAGCCAAAAAAGAAAAATGAACTTTGGTACATGGAATGTACTGACACTCATGGATAACACTGACAGTGAACGCCCCGAATGCAGAACTACTATCATTGCAAGATAGCTTGGATGCTTTAACATCAACATAGCAGTGCTTCAGGAGCAGGAGAGAAACAGCTGAAGAAAAAAAAGGAGGCTACACCTTTTTCTGGAAGGGACTGCCTGAACAAGACCAAAGAATGCATGGAGTTGGCTTTGCTATCAGAAATGATCTGGTGAAGCATCTGACCAAAGCATCCACTGGCATCAACAAAAGACTCTAAACCCTCCGAATTGAACTTGCCGAATTGAACAGGCAACCATCATAAGTGCCTATGCACCAACACTAGATGCTGATGAAGACATCAAGGAAAAATTTACTGTCAGCTGGATACTGTCCTATCGGAGATACCTAAGGAGAACAAAATCATCCTCCTGGGGGATTTTAATGCAAGAGTCGGATGAGACTTCGACCTGTGACCAGGGACCATAGGAAAAGACGAGGTTGGAAACAGCAACTCGAATGGCATCCTGCTTCTCACCAAATGTGTGGAACATGGCCTTGTCATCACCAACACGCTCTTCCACCAGAAAAATAAGTTCAAGACATCATGGAAGTACCCCCGGTCAAAGCATTGGCACCTCTTAGACTACATAATCACATGTGCCAGAGATCACCGTGACATGCTTCTCACAAGAGCCATGACAGGTGCTGCTGACTGCTGGACAGACCACAGGCTAATCCGATTCACAATGGCTATCAAGATCGCCACCAAACTCAGACTCCAAGGAAGAAACACAAGGCGCAAAATGAACACCCAAGCCCTTCAGGAGCCCTCCAAATGAGCCCTTCTCCAAACAGCACTCAAGGACCATCTACCCATAGAACACCCCAAAAATGTTGAGGAACATTTGACCAAACTGAAGACCTCCATCATCCAAGCCTGCGAAGAAACTATTTGATATCAAACCAAGAAACATCAAGACTGGTTTGACGAAAATGACAATGAGATCCAACAGCTAATTAACAAGAAAAGGAAAGCCTTCCAAACATGGCAGAGAGACGTCAACTGTGCTGCTAAGGAAAAGATCTACGACAGTGCAAAAGCTGAAGTCCAAAGAAGGACAAGAGAATTCAAGAACATCTGGTGGACAAAGAAGGCTGAAGAAATCCAACACCTGGCAGATACCCATGATGCTCAGGGATTTTTCAAAGCCACAAAGGTAATCTACAGACCAAGAAACCATGGCATAAAGCATCTATGCTCATCAGATGAAACCAAACTTCTGAAGGACAAAAAATCAATTGCACTAGATTGGAACGAACACTACCAAAGCCTCCTGAATCGCAGCACCAATGTGGCCTAAGAGGTTCTCTCACAAATCCCGCAAGAACAAACCAGGGATGAGCTTGCAGCACTGCCTAGTTTGGAAGAAGTCAGCAATGCCATCAGCCAACAAAAAAAATAACAAAGCCAGCAGACCTGATGGGATCCCTGCTGAAATCTTTAAAGAAGGAGGATCTGAGCTGACACAACAACTCCACCCTTGAAAAAGTGTGGGTGACCGAGAAAATCCAGCAGATTTCAAGGATGCCACCATCACCACCCTCTTCAAAAAAGGGGAAAGAACAGACTGCGGAATCTATCAAGGTATCTCCCTTCCAACTTCTGCTGGGAAAATCCTCACAAGAATCCTTGCAAACCGCCTTCTGCCCCTCTCAGAAGACACCCTCCCAGAATCCCAGAATGGCTTCCGCCCCTCCAGAGGAACAGTGGACATGATCTTCACTGCTGACAGCTCCAAGAAAAATGCAGGGAAGAAAATCAACCACTGTACACGGCATTCATTGACCTTGCAAAGGCATTCGACACAGTGAACCGCAGTGCTCTCTGGACCATCCTCCAAAAAATTGAGTGCTCCTCCAAGATGACATGATGGCAACAGTCTTGGACAGCAATGACTCCCAAAGTGACCCATTTAAGGTGGAATCAGGTGTCAAACAGGGATGTGTCATTGCCCCAACTTTATTTTCCATCTTCATCGCTATGATACTTCACCTTGTTGATGGGAAGCTTCCCACCGGAGTGGAAATCATCTATCGGACAGATGGCAAGCTATTTAACCTCAGCAGACTAAAAGCCAAAACCAAGGTTACAACAACATCTATTATAGAACTCCAGTATGCTGAAGACAATGTCGTCTGTGTGCGTTCAGAAGAAGACCTACAAGCCACCCTAAACACCTTCGCAGAAGCATACGAGAAGCTCGGCCTGTCAAGAAAACCAAAGTGCTTTTCCAGCAGTCACCAGCCAATCCCTCTCCTATGCCAGACATACAACTTAATGGTGTAACATTAGAAAATGTTGATCATTTCCGCTACCTTAGCAGCCACCTCTCCACAAAAATCAACATTGACACTGAAATTCAACACCGCCTGAGCTTTGCGAGTGCAGCACTTTTCCGAATGAAGCAGAGAGTATTTGAGAACCGGGACACCCATAGGGATACCAAGGTGCTTGTTTATAAAGCTATTGTCCTCCCAACCTTGCTATACACCTGCAAGATGTGGACTGTCTACAGATGTCACATTAAAGTCCTGGAACAATTCCATCAGCGCTGCCTCTGAAAAATCCTGCAAATCTCTTGGGAAGACAAGCAGACAAATGTCAGCATGCTGGAAGAAGCAAAGACCACCAGCATTGAAGCGATGGTCCTCTGCCATCAACTCCACTAGACTGGCCATGTTGTCTGGATGCCCGACCACCATCTCCCAAAGCAGTTGCTCTATTCCAAACTCAAGAATGGAAAACGGAATGTTGGAGGACAGGAAAAGAGATTTAATGATGGGCTGAAAGCTAACCTTAAAGACTCTGGCATAGACACTGAAAACTGGGAAGCCCTGGCCCTTGAGCGCTCCAGCGGGAGGTCAGCTGTGGCCAGCAGTGCTGTAGAATTTGAAGAGGCACAAATGGAGGGCAAAAGAAAACATGCCAAGAGGAAGGCGCGTCAAGCTGGGACCGCCTTCCACCTGGAAACCGATGCCGCCACTGCGGGAGAAGATGCAGATCAAGAATAGGGTTCCACAGTCACCTACGGACCCACTGCAAGCACCCCAATCTTGGAGGATCATCATCCCCAGACAACGAGGGATCACCTAAGTAAGTAAGTAAGTAACCTGGGCAAATGGAGCCCTTGGTGTCTCAATGGGTTAAACTCTTGTGCCAGCAGGACTGCTGACCAATAAATCAGTGGTTCGAATCCAGAGAGAGCGGGGTGAGCTCTCACCTGTCAGCTCTAGCTTGCCAAGTGGGGACATGAAAGAAGCTCCCACAAGGATGGAAAAACATCCGGGTTTCCCCTGGGCAATGTCCTTGCAGACGGCCAATCCTCTCCGAAGCAACTTGCAGTTAGGGGTTCAAATCCAGGGAGTGGGGTGAGCTCCCGCCTGTCAGCTCCAGCTTCTCATGTGGGGGCATGAGAGAACCCTCCCACAAGGGTAGTAAAACATCCGGGTTTCCTCTGGGAACGTCCTTGCAGACGGCCAATTTTCTCACACCCAAAAGAATTTGCAGTTTGGGGTTCAAGTCTGGGGGAGTGGGGTGAGCTCCCATCTGTCAGCTCCAGCTTCTCATGCGGGGGCATGAAAGAAGCCTCCCACAAGGATGATAAATCATCCGGGCGTCCCCTGGGCAACATCCTTGCAGACGGCCAATTCTCTCACACCAGAAGCGACTGAGAGTTCCTGACATGGGGAAAAAAAACAAAACCTGGGCGGGCCTCCTAACCTGCCTCACTATTTCTTCGTTGAATGGAAAACCCGACTGCAGGAGTCTACAAACAGGGCCAGCCCTAGGTAATTTTCAAGTGTAAGGAAGCAGTGCTTTGCCCCCCCCCCCAAAACCAATCACTGAAAAATAAAAGGTAGAAAGTGGAGGTGAATAAAAGAGTTACCAAACAACCACTTTTCCCTCTTCCTCCTACTTCTC